ACAGATAGAATGCTGAATAGTCAGATGTGAAAGCACCGGTACGGGGATCAAATAAAAAGATGTACAGCAAAGGTGTTTATGTCTCAGAAGCTGCAAGTATAATTACTGTAAGGACAAAGTTTAAAGCTCAAAGGCATTCAACATCATGTCTTATTCAGACATTGCAATGTCAGTAGGCTTTAAGCAGTGTTCAACTTCATGTCCACTTAAGAATTGTGGAAATTACTCTATCTTCTGTACAGTCAGTTCCCAACAGCACCATAAAAACATCTCTAAGAAACCCTGAGCAACATTCTCTGCCAAACTGAATTGTTATCAGACCTTGGCTTCATGTATGTCCATCAAGTTTTGAGACAGGAAGATAACAAATTTTCCCCGTATAGTTGCTCATTAAACCATCTTCAAGTCACTGAACAAAACAAAACATCTGATTTTTTTTTTTTTTTAAAGGTTCTCATCACCCTGGGTTATTACAGTGGTTTGAACTTCAGTCTGGCATTGCTCAGTCCTCCAGCAATAATAAACAGAACTTGGATTCTAGGCTTAATAGTCTTCTCTGAATTAACAATGTGATGTTAATCCCCTTATGAAGTTTTCTTCAGTTCAAATAGTATTTTCCTCTAGTTTTGTGGATATTTTTCCTTAATGGTTAAACATTTCCATGAATCAATGTTTTGTATTGAACATATTTTTCTTTATATTTTAGGCATTTTTTTCAAATTTTCACAGTCAACATTTCTTCTTGCTTTTATACCTATTCATTTGGACTACCGTTATTAAATCTGAACAAGGTCTAGGGACACATTGATGATGATGATATAGAGTTTTATTTATATTTATTTTAAAATAGCTTTTCTGTGATAGAATGCAATTTTTTAGAACATGAAAAACATAGTTTCAAAAGGTTGAAATAACAAGTTTGATTTGCAGTCCCTCAATGAGTAAATATGGAAGAATAACTGTTCTGATTTATCCCCAGCAAGTAGCTCAGCACAACCTAGCTGCTCGCTTACTCTCCCCAGGTGGGGCAGGGGAGAGAACTAGAAATGTAAAAGTGCAAGAACAATGGGTTGAGATAAAGACAGTTTAGTAAGCAAAGCAAAAGTCATGCATGCAAGCAAAGAAAAGAAAGGAATTATTTTGCTATTTCCTATTGGATGATGTTCAGCCACTCCCAGGAAAGTGAGGCTCATACTGCTTTGCAGTTTCTTGGGAAGACAAATGCCATCACTGAAGATTCCCCCTTCCTTTTCCTTTGCCCCAGCTGTTATTGCTGAGCATGATGCCAGGTGGTATGGGGCATCCCTTTGGTCAGCCTGTGTCAGATGTCCTGTCTGTGTCCCCTCCCAGCTCCTGTTGCGCCCCCAGCCTCCTTGCTAGCAGAGTATCTTGATAAGCTGAAAAGTCCTTGGCTCTTTGTAAACACTCCTCTGCAACAAGTGAAAATATCGGTGTGTTGTCCTGGTTTTGTCTGGGATAGTTAATTTCCTTCACACAGGCTTGTACAGTGCTGTATTTTTGATTTTTGATGCAAAGAGTGGTGATAACACAAAAATGTTGCAGTAAAATCATACACAGGATGTTAAAAACCTGTAATTATCATATGAGCAGTAGATTTGTTTATAGTTTTAAGAGATGTCTTATCAGAACACTTCTATGCAAAATGAATGAAAACTGGATGGAAACCACTAAAATTACTATGGCAAAACTGTGTTAACATATTTAGTAATGGTGCTGGCATAAAGGACTGTTGGAAGGATATTCACAGTGAACAAAATTTCAAGTACTCAAAAACTGTTGAATACTTCCTTCATGCAGCTTCAGTTACAGTGTAATCCACAGTGCAGTTGTGGGTGATGACTCCTTCTGAGATGCAGAGACTCAGGGATTTAAACCAGGAATCACAGTAATAATTGTACTGTGTTCAGAGCTCATCTAAGAGAGCTGGTAGGAAAATGTTGAAAAGAGGTCTGGCCCCTCTTTTGTTGTCCCTTTTCTCTCTTTATAATATAGGTGTTTCTGCTGGGGAATGTGGCAGTGCTGTCCTTTCCCCTCTTTTGATTGTACAATAGTTCTAGAAAGGTGGTGAAGAGTGAGAGAGCTGATCCTGATTCTTCACATCCCGTCAGACTGCTTTACTCTTGCCTTTATAGAAGAACTGGGGCATGACCACCACTATTATTTTTCTCTTCAGCAGTTGTATTTTTAGAAAAAGAAGGGATCTGTTTATCTGACAGTTCTCTCAGGCTAGACATGCTCTGAGGATACCAGCTGGAACAGGTTCCTACTCTAGCAAAGAAACTACCAAATTATGTATCCTAGAGAAATTTAGACATGTGCTCAATATTGAACTGTTCAATTATGTCAAGCCTTAGGCACTTCAGGGCTTCTCCTAAAATAGAACTGTAGACATGAAACACCTGAAGGTCTAACACAGATATGTCTTAGGACATTAAATCCCTACAGCAAGATGGCAGCTGAATGAGAGTTTTGAGGCTTACAATTTGCATTTAAGAGACTAATATCACATGAGATACCTCAGTCTGGCCCCCAGTAGCTTTCAGTTTGATGTCTCCAATCCTTGAACAATAACCTTGCAACAACTGCTGGCATCACAACAGTTTACTGTGAAGATAAAGACTGTAAAGCACACTAGTACCATGGTAACAAGGATTACTTTAGGTAAAGGAAAGTGTTAGGATCTGAGACTATCTTAAGTGCCCTTAGGTTTCTTGAGGCTTCACAGTATTTACCTGCTTTCCTCATGAGAAGTGCTTCTAATTCATGTCATGTGTAAGAAATTAGAACCGTGACAGCTCTACTAATTCATATTAATGTTTTCCCTTGAAATATGTGCAATGCCATTAGTAGATATAGTGGCATACCCACACATACCTCAGTAGTTGTTCTAGGACGGGTCAAATATCACTGAGTGCTGTGTGGGTGGGAAAAGTAAAAAAGTATATTGAATTTACAAGGGTTTCTTTCTTGGCTGACCATCATCATTTTTGTGTATGTAAGCATCTACAGATGGTGCTGGAATAATCTAGAGTCTGACTCTCTGTGAAGAATAGCAATACTCATCTGAGATGTAAAGTCTGGCATTAGTGCTCATGTCAGCATTAGCAATAAATAACCTTTTCAGCAATATGAAGAAGGAAAGCATTAGTACAGTCCTGGGAATTGTAATCTGTGGAACCATGGCAAAGTCTTTCCTCCATGCCTGCTGAATACAGCACATAATTGCCAGCTTTTTGTAAAAAGAAAGAAGTAAGACAAAAAGAAAAAAAGGAGGGAAGGAAGGAGGGAAGGAAGGAGGGAAGGAAGGAAGTTGCATAAAGAAATAAAGAAAGTTGCAGATGCAGAAACATCTTTACAAAAGAAAATATTTTGTAATATTGTCTTATGTAGCAAAATGAACAAATAGCATCTTTGGACCAGATATTTATAAGCAAAAGCTGAAAACATCAGCCAACCTGTACCTGGTACTGACAGAGAGGATACTAATAATAACTTAGTGTGACATCGTGAAACCATCTGATGATTCTGAGCGTGGGATGATAGTATTAGCCAAGGAAGTCAATTAATCTGTCTTCTGGAAAAAGAAAATGGAACAAACCTGACATGAAAGGTTTAGAAATATTACAGTGGGGATGACTGGGAAGAAATAAGACATCTGACCATAGGAAAAAATAAAAATAAAAAAAAATAAAAATCTGATATTCAGACTATATAGCTGGTCCTATTTAAGGACAGATTTTTTTTTTTTTTTTTTTTTTTTTTTTTTTTTTTTTTTTTTCTGGCTAAGAAAGGAAAAAACAATGGTAAAAGAAAGGACTAATTGACACATGACTGTATTCAGAATGGCCATGATCCAAGTAGTAAGCTTATAAATATGCTCTTCAAAGAGCACAGCAGGAGGAAAACAATGATTCAGATGGAGCATGTCTCTGTGGGGAAGCCAACAATTCTTTGAACTTGTCAGACTTACCTTGCAAGCTCCAGAAGGATTCAGATGAAGCTAGGAATGCACCAGTGCTTGATGGATAATTCTAGGATACCACTGTTCTCTTTGCCAATACATGTTCTTTAATGTCTTGGCAGCGTGCAATGGCTCTTTCTAGCAAGTCCTGCCACATATAGTTCAGCCTTGAAAAATTCTTATGAAAGTTTACCTGCCAAAGTACAAAATATATTTTCTCCAGTATTATCATAACTTTTGAATACAGATCATCTGAAGCTGTCGCTGGAACAATTCAGCCCAGCAGAGAACATTGCTCCAAATTTACTCCATGACAAAAGTCTTATTAAAAGTGTTATGGCTGAAATTATTCATTCCTTACTTAAGAATACATAAGCTATGAGGATGTTGCTGTTATTCTGAAATCAAACATTATGAACCCAGAACAGTTGGATTTAAGACTAAACTTAAAATAACCTATTGAAAGAGATGCTGTTATGGTAGCTGAACAATGATAATTTTTTAATAATCACAGTTTTTTTTTTTTTTTTTTTTTTTTTTTTTTTTAAATACAGTATTTCTATATTTTGGGGTTCAGGATTCTCATAAAGCTCCAGTTATATCAAAGGACTTGGTCTCCTAACAAAAATATAAAAGTGTAAAAGTATTTTTAAGGCCAAAGGTTTGACATTTAATGGCCTGTAAGTTCTTTCATGCAATGAAGATAAAGAAACATATGGTTTAGTTCAAAGCCTCGTTGTAGTTTAATTGTGCTGATAGTTTCTGTCTGTTAATCTAGTGAATGAAGAATGAAAAAATTGGTGTATCTTTTGAAGCCAAAGAGAATTCACTGAAAGAGTAGAGGACAACTAAATACTTTACAGACCTCACCTACATAAAATAAACTTGTATTGAGCTTCTATTTGGGGATGCAATTAAGGACTCCAGGAACATTTATAACACCCGTAGTTATAGTTCTTATCATTGGCAAGCTAATCCGGACAGCAATTCATTACCTGCTTGATATGTTCTACCTGTGTACACTTACGCATTTTTTATTAGTAAAAATGAGGAATGTAATTTGTGAACAGTCAGAAGACGGTCTATTTTAAAAAGGAAGGCATTCAGAAAAATGTAATTTTGCTATCTGAAAAGCAGTATCCAATACATGATTCCAAACAAACAAACAAACAACAACAACAAAAGACAAAAAATAATAAATAAAAGATGATTCATAGGCTGAAAAGTTTAGACATATGAGCTAGTGACCCTGTCCTAGCCTGATTTTAGCCTATATCTGGAGGTCATTAAGGGAGAAAAAATAATCATCCTGTTAGTGAACATTCTCATGGTTTGCATATTTAAATGCACTCCTAATGAATGTCCATTTCTTTTTCAGAAACAATAAGGTTGGAATTACTATAAGTAGATGGGTATAAAATTGAGGTAAAATCAGACACCAGTACAGCATTCTGAATTTATTTTGGATTCAAATGGTCTTTAGTATGTGCAAGTCATTAAAGTCTCAATCTATGCCTGAGGTGTATAAGACTTGCTTCAATATTTTATAGTAGGGATTTTGATCTATGATTTATCAGTCAACAGACAGCACTAAGGGCAGATTTTTTTTTTTTTTCAAATCAATTATCATCTTGGTAGAATTTGTTTTTAATTATTATTTCTATTTACCTTTCTGCCATTGAAAAAACAAAAAGTTTTTTATATACTTGTCAACTTGAGTGACCTGCCATATAAGTAACATAAAATGCAGGTTTTCTTCTGAACTGAATAAAATATTTGTGAATATTTGGACAATACATGACATAACACTTTTTCTGGGGGGGAGGTACTATTCAGTCCTAGCACATATCTGACTTTCTCTATTTTCTTTCCCTCCTCCATTTAATGCTGCTTCTTCATTATTCTTTCCTGAAACTTTTAAATTACTTAGGCAAATATTTGACAAGCCCAACAGTTTTCCATTCTTGGCATTTGCAGCTGGAAAGGTGTAACAAGTCACTAAAGTCAGTATATACTTTGTCTTCTGCAGCTATGTCTAACTGAAAAAAACATTAGAAGTGAGCATTGTTACTATTGCTACTTGTTTGAGAAAGAAGGTAATTTGAAAAAGCAATAGCAAGGTTTCAGATTTTATAGTAAAAATCATTTACTTCTGAACTATTCAACAAAAAATATTATCAAACGTATAAAGTTGCTGCTTAGCTGAGCATCAGTTGTTCTCAGGCAGCAATATATGGCTTTCAGGTTTTACAAGGAGCTGTGTCTGCTGGCGAAAGGTTTTACCTTTACATTTTTGAATAAATAAATAAACAGATAAATAATCCAACCACAGAATTGTGCTAGTGTTATTTCTCATTTGGATATTCAGGTGGATATCTCAATTATTGGATATGTAGATGCTGATGGCTTTCTGAGAAGTCTCTGTTATTGAATTGGAACAGCTAAATGTCCTTTATTCTGACAAGAAGTAAAAACTTCAATGAACATTTCCCAGGATCTCTTTTGCAAATGTCCATTTAGTAGAAATATCATCCTGTCCTCTTAGTTTCAAATTGCCTAGAAGAAATGGAAAAGAAAATAAATGACAAGCAAGTTCTTCAGCCCAGGAAAGAACCCATAAAAACCAGGAGAGCACTCTCAGTGTGGCTTCCAAGCTTTTATGAACTTTTACCTTCCAGGTAGCTCTCCTCTACAGAGGCCGGCAGTGATCTACTAGAGATTGCTGTGTCTAAAATACAGCAGCCATTTGTAACCAGGACATAAATGCCTAAAAATTTTGCTACATGCTGGGTTAGGCCAAAAAAAAAAAAAAAAAAAAAAAAGGAATTTTCCCTTGTTTATATACAGGTCAAAGCATCAAACCTCTTAAAATTATTCTCTTCCTTTGGACTCCAAAAATCTCCTCTGAATCAATGAAATCTGAAACAGACTTAAACCTAATTCCTCACCCATACCTTATACTTTCTGCAGTGTTACCAAGAAGGCTTTATCAGGAGTTGAGGCCACAGACTGATTCCTCTGGCTAACAGTTGCTAGGGTCTGCACGCAGCTGACAGATTGTTACAGATAATGCATTTAATTAAGGCTAGGGCACACAACTGCAAAGGTGTTCTTTCCTCCTGAACAGTTCCCCTATTCTGCATCATCCAACCTAAGTGTAGGACACATCTTTTTTTGTGAAATGTTTGTTATATAAAGCTTCTGCTTGGCCAAAATGGTATCATAAAAAACCTGTTATTAATAAAATGTTTGGGTTAATATGTTTTCTTCCTATCAGCACCAACAATATGCTAGCTTTGTGTATTATCATTTGTAGCAACAAACAGTCCTTTCTGAAATCGGAATCTTGCAGCACAACGCCGTCAATTTATCATCCCTGCAAAAATGCTAAAATTGCTCAATGGTATTGAGAAGCTCAAACTTTAAACCAAATATGGATAAAAGTTGATGTAAATCTCTTCCTGGTCAAAAAAATATTAATATGCTAAAATATTATCTTTAGAAAGTCTGAAAGAAAATAAGATCTCTGTTCAACATAACTTGTCATGTGTATATGCTAACATAACATCCATTATGAACCAAATTTCACCAAAGGATAACCTGGCTTTACACATCAGTTATGAGAACCAGTTTCTGTTTTATGGGAACTAAAAATTTAATGAGTAGCAAAAGATAGTAAGCACAAAGTAAGGTAGGAGGCATAAAAGAGAAGGGCTACAACAGTAAGAGTTCAAGATATGACTTTGAACATACTCTAATATGTGTTATATTCATGCTGACTTGTGCAAGATCTGAAATGCAATGTTATGGTGTTATGCCGAGTCTGTCCTGATCTGTATTTTTATATCATTCACCACAGCTTTCAGCATGCAATTGTGTAATGCTGGTGCTGGCATTGTGCTACCAAGCATAGTTTATAAACATCAGTGCACTGGTATGTATTTTTAGAGAACTAAAGAAGGTTTTGTGGGTGCTGTGATATATGCTGTTGCTAGCTTTGCACTTTGAATGTTGTTCCCCTGGCTCACATAAAGTTAGCTTTCATTTAGTTCCTAATCCATTTTTGTTAATTGCAAACACTTTTATCTAGAAGTATTTGAATTTAAAGAATGAGGAAACATAAGGGTAATTTTGCAAAATTTCTATGGAACAGATTCCTAAAGCTTTCATGAACCCCAGATGTGTATTTACACGTTATCTTCTGGATGCGTCATGAAAGATGGTAGCAAAATATTCTTCATCTTTAGAAATATAGATAAATATTTCTACTGGCTTTTCACAAGATCATGATGAGCAACATTCAAAACTGAATAATAAAACTAAGTCTGGAGCTGCATTAGAAAAGGATAATTCATGTGTCCCTAGCTGAAGGTATGAATAAACTCACATCCTTCAAATATAGCCTCATATGACTTGTGATTTGCCAACACAATTTCTTGATCTAGATAACAATTTACTTATGTACATAAAAAATAATAATAAATAAATGAAAAGGGAATTATAAAGAAAATTAGTCTCACTTTCTTACCCAAATCACACATTTGCAATGAATCCACCCCCCGTGGGCTGAAGGTATGCTATGGTTGCAAAGATTTCTAGCACTCCCCTCTGAAGCCTGAGGGAGATTCTAGCACAGCACCTGCTCCTCTCTTTGATTAGGCATCACCAGCAGTCCCCATGCCTTTAGGCTGCATCTCTGTGATTGCCGCTGTACACCTGGAAACTTCGTGGTAAGAGAGGACGCTTGTGTTTGGGAATACGGTTAGTTTTCTCACCCACAGCTTGATTCATCCTTAACAGCTTCATTCTTTTGATGGCTTTCTGTACTTTCATATTCTCAGTTTTCCCACTGTAGAATGCCATAATTTTACAATGCTGTTCATCTTCAATATCAATGTTTCTGTCAGCTCTGTAAAACGTGGTGTAGCACAAGGTTAAATGTAGGAATGTGCTTCACTCAATTAAAAAATGATTAAACTGCTTCTGAATTTGGAACCTAGAGAGTCTCTTGACTTCTCTTTAGGACTTTGTATATACCTTTCGTATCCTGAATGAAAGGAAAGGAAAAAAAAAAGGATGTACCTCTAGAAAAGATTTTAATAAATTACAGGTGATAAACTTGTAGTTGTATGCATTCCACAGGCTTCTGGTTTTGAATGATGGTGCTCAGATGGATATTAATTTAGGTGATAGAAAGCAACTTGCATTACTGCACACTCTTTTCTGGGAGGCATGGATTTTCTTTCCACTAACAATCTTGTTGACAGCAGCTGCTTTTTTTGTGGACAGTGAAAATAATTTTTGAACAAATAACCTACTAAAATAGTTTTTACTTTTTTTTGTTGTTGTTGTTCTTTCCAGAAATAAACAATGAACCTATGGAATAACTCTTTTATTTTTTAATACAGTAATATATATACTTTTCTGTACATTGTTGATGAAAAGGCTGCAGTGGCTGGTCAGAATTTGAAATTCTGCTTTGATCTAGTTGATACATGACAATACAACAAGCAGCAGGATTTACATTTCCAGTTACAGGTGAGCTTGAACTAGATTTACCAACTACAGCTCCTTTGCACAGGCATAATGAAACAAATAAAGGAATCGTGATTTGAAAGGCTAGGTAATAGACCATCAAATAGCGGGTCTATCACAATAGAAAAATATCAAATGAAAGACTTAATGGGCTGAAGAAGGTGTTTCTAAAAAGACCACCTCATTCTTTTCAAGATGTATCAATTGGTCTATGTCATGGTTTTGACTGGGATAGAGTTAATTTTCTTTGTAAAGGCTTGTATGATGTTGTGTTTTAGATTTTTGATGAAAATAGAGATGATAACACCCACCTTTGCTACCCATCTTTAGTTTTTCTTAATAATTTACTTTTTCCAATGTCTACAACCCATTTATGATTTCTATTCTACAATTTCTAGTGTTCAGATTTCTGTTGCTCAGTAATATCCATATTTCTGTCTTGCACCAGTAGTTCACATTGTTCTATTTTATTACTTGAGCTTTGTACTGCATTGCAAGCATTTCGCTTGTTACTCGTTTCCTGCTTGGATTAATTGCGGCACTATTGCTCTCTTTACGTAGTACTTGCACAAATCGAAGGGCTTTTCAGCTTCTTGTGGTCCCCTACTAGCAAGGAAACTGGGGGCGCACCAGGATCTGGGAGAGGACACAGCCGGGACAGCTGGCCCAGGTTGACCAAAGGGATATCCCATACCATGTGGAATCATGCTGAACAATAGCAGATGGTGTAAAGGTGGAGGAAGGGTGTGACATTCACAGTGATGACATTTGTCTTCCCAAGAAGCCATTCTGTGTGATGAGCCCTGCTTTCCTTGAAGTGGCTGAACACCTGCCTGCTGATGGGAAGTACTGAGTAAATACCTTGGTTTGCTTTGCTTGCACATGTGGCTTTTACTTTACATAGTGAACTGTCCTCATCTCAGCTCCTGAGTTCTTGCACTTTTGCATTTCTGATTCTCTCCCCCATCCCACCTGGGGAGAATGGCTGTGTAGTGCTGAGTTAAACCACAAGAGTCTAACAACTAATGTACCTTTCTTTACAAACCTTGCCTCATTCAAAAACACTCTGACCTTCATAAATATAATGCCAAAGCAAGGTAACTATGAACTTTGTTTCATTCTCTTGTTAACCATGTATTCATGGTGTGATAAGCAGACAAAAAGTGTATTCCGTTTAATTCTATAACTGTACGTCAGTCTTTCATATTCTAATATGAAGCCATTTTGACAACAGACCTACTCACTATGATGTATGTGGAGAACTGAAAGGATATAAACTGAATTGGTTTAAATATGACAATGATGTTAATTCAATATTTCTTTCAACTTTTAACCAACTTTATTATGCTTATAACACTTGACAGCAAATCAAAACAAACAAAACAATAAAAAGAATCTCCACATTTCTAGTTTCAAAGTGAAACTCCTTGGGAATGAAGCCCAGACTTCCGGAGAGGTTAATGTGACATTAAAACTATAAAGTACAAAAATCACAGAATCAAAGAATGGCTGAAGTTGGAAGGGACCTCTGAAGACTATCTAGTCCAACCTCCCTGCCAAGCAGGATCACCTAGAACACATTGAGTAGGTTGGGATCCAGGTGGGTTTTGAATATCTCCGGAGAAGGAGACTCACGCTGTCTCCGGGCAACCTGTTTCAGTGCTTTGTCACCCTCACAGTAAAGTGCTCTTTCATATTCAGCCAGAACTTCCTGTGCTTCAGTTTGTGCCTGATGCCTACTGTCACTGGGCACAACTGAAAAGAGACTGGCTTCATCCTCTTGACACCCTCCCTTCAGATATTTATACATATTGATGAGGTCTCCCCTGTCTTCTCTTTTACTATACATGTTCTTTTTAGTATACAACTGTTTTCTTATTGAAAACTTCATTTATTTGCAGATAGAATATCATTAATCCTGCAAATGTTTTTATGACTGTTCCTACAAACCTTTATTGGTAGGTTTTATGCTTGTTACCATGAACAATTCATTACACTTTGCATAGTGGGCATGATGCTTGGTTGTAAGTGCTTATGAAAAAAGACCTATTGGCTGCAATTCATAAGTTGAATATGAATTCATGAATATATACAAAGTTGCATTTGTGTCCATGTTGTCCTTAAAGCTTTATTATCATAAATGTTTTAACCTATTCCCTAGGAAATGTTTACCAAATGGAAACCACAATATATTAGAAGGTTCAACATCTCTAATAGATGTCCAATGACTTTTTGTTTTATATATGTAAGTGCCATTTTATGTAACAAAAAGCTGCTCTGCTCTCCTAAGAAAATCATCTTCATCTATAGGGACAATTATGGTTCATAACATTCAAATACTTTCATAATAAACTTTCAAATTATGTTAAGTGTGCTTGCCCAGACACTTCAGCCACAAATAATACACTACCTCCTTCAAATAAACAAGTGGTATCCATAATGACTACTTAGGGACAACATTTACTGACTACAAAAATTATATCTCATCTGTTATTTTATGGTTTCAGGAACCAGAAAACCACTTAACAGCAACCAGACATGTTCAAAAAACACATTATTTTAAAAGCAGTCATGCTACAACAGATATTTTGCAAGTATAATTAGTGGACAGAAGTAGTATTTGTGAAATTATTATATAATCATACCAGGATAAAGAGGAGAAAAAAGGTGCTATAAAACTATACCTGACTGCTTAGGGTGCAAGAAAATACAGAAAATATCATTTTCTAAGGTATAAGTTACTAACAGATGGAAAGCAAAAATAAGGAAAGAAATAAAATGTACTTAGTAGCTTAGATAATATTCTGTTGCCTGGGATCTCTAGATCCATGACTAATTTTTCTCTCCCAGTAGATCTGTAGGTTTCAGTATGATTGAAGAGGGCTTTGTCTTTGAACTATTTATATGAACAAACCAAAAAACTGGTACCAATTGCTGTGGTGCAAATATAGGGTAAGGAACAGGAAGATGGAAAGGAAAGCATATTATTAAGGAGAACAGTAATCCCACACCTGTAAAAACAGGATCAAAGGGCTGGATAGTGATACATGATATTTTCTTAAACTATGAGGATGAGATTTTTCCGTTTAGGTAATTGTTCTCTGTAGAGATTCATCCATGTCCTTTCCTTTTCCTTTTCCTGTTCCTTTTCCTTTATTTTTCCTTTCCCTTTTCCCTTCCCTTTCCCTTTTCCTTCATAGTTCTGTGAAGTTTTTCATCCACATTTGGTTGTGATTCATTTTTGAGTGAAAACACAGATGGACCCACAAGCCCAAAATGAAGCCAATGCAAAACTTTAGTTTCAATGGTTGTCATAGTTTAGGACCAAACTGACAATGAGAAGGCTAAATGGACTTGAAAACCAAACCAGGTTCAATGTTACGTCATTAGCGTTGTGCAGTTTTCTGTCCTGTTATCAGTCCTTGTCTGTCCAATTACACCATCTCATGACTAGCAGTTATCTGTTGCCACTAACCCTTCCCATTGACAACTTTGTAGGGTACACTGACCTGAACCATGCAATTGAATTTTCATGCCATCTGTCTTGCAAGGCTTTATCCTTCTCTTAATCCCTTGTATATCTAATAGTCTTTCAACACTTCCTTTCTCAATCTCACTCAGATGTCACTTTTATGCAGATGGTGCAAAGATTTAGGTTCCTTTCACTGCTCAGAGTATAGAGGCTTCTCCTTAATCTTATCAGATTTTTTTTTTTTTCTTTCCTTCTTCTTTTCCTTCAACATAATTTGAAGGGGTCTTGTAACACTAAAGCAAATGGTACATAATGGTTCTAGATGTCATGCTGACCAAGGGTAAAATAGGTAACAGGTTCATAAAAGGAGATGGACAGATTATACGCCTTGCAGAAATATTTTGCTAAAAGAATTTAATCTTTTTTTTTTTAAATATATATATATATAAATAGAACAACACATAGTTTCAGAAATACTATAGCTTTTCCCTGCATAAACTATTTTAATATAATATTCTCTGCTTTTTTTTTTTTTCTTCTGAGTTCTCTGTGATCCTTGAGGTCACTAAAGATTTAGAAGCATTAAATGACAGTTAAATAATTCACCTATCAGTTTTTTCCCCTTGTAGATATGTAGAAATAGATAACATTTTTCCTCTAGTAATTTGATACAAGCCCCTGGAAATTTGTGCCATGAAAAGTTAATCATTGAAAATAGCTGAAATGTTGAATTGATTGCTCCTCTATTTATGATATTTTAAGATACATTATGATACATTATGATACATTAAGATATGTGTAAAAAGTACATATAAGAAATAATCATTCTAATCATCTCATTTTTTAATACCTCAATTTATGTTAATACTCAATATTTAATGTACACCCTAAGCATTGAAACTAGTATAAAATGTTTATACATAGTTTTGGAACTCTATGAATACTTTTGAAATGTTATTATGAATCAGTAAATACAGTAATGTTTCTTCTACTCTAGATGTGCTCTATAATGTACAAATATTATTTATACTCTACAAATATTTGAATGTTCTTTATATAGATTTCTCCACTTGTATGTAAAGTCTTTAAATGTATAGTTTTAGCTTTAGCAATATGAAAAGGATGGCAGACTTACTGTGAGACACATGAATCCTTCCAGAGTGCTTTTTAAATTCCTACTGCAATAGTATTGTGTAGCACCCATCACATGGACACTTTTGAGAAGAATGGCAGCATATCACTTCTTTTCTAAACATTTCTGAACTACTTCAGGAAGTTAACTTTCTGAGGTTTTCAGCAGCTGGTAGAAATCTAGCCCTTCAGATAATTAACTTGCCTCAGTTGCCACCAAATAAAGAACCAGTAGCTTACATGGAGTCAGCATTTGAGAAGTCTCTCCATTAGATTTTTCTGAAGTTCTCACTTCAGAAGACACAAGTTTCCTGTGTGCATGGCAAAGTCAATTAAGAATGCATTCTTTTCTTTCTTCCTCTTCCTAAGAGTGACCAAATACCTCTACAAGCAACTAGTTGTAAATAAATGAAAGTTCTGCAAACTACAGGGGAATTGAAGTAACCCAAGCTCTTCTTAGAAATTGTAAGAACATCACTTTGGAAAAATAATTTGTATATGAAAAAATTCTGTAAAGAATTAAGATGATTAAGATCATAAAGAGTGAGAGCACATTCCTGTATCTAATGTGTCACAAGTGCTTAATCCAACTTTTACTATTGCCACCTTGCTTGATCCTGCTGAGTGTATAGAGTTGCCCTTCTTTACCCATGCTCAAGATGTGATTCATTACTTTGAAGTGGCAAATATCTGTGGGATAAATGTATTTCCTGTTTGTATACAGGAACCCTTGTCTATATAGTGTAAACAATATGTAATGTGTTTCACAAGGCAAACTCTATAATTACTACAAACTACTTTTGAATGTTCCAGTGTTAACTTACTCTACACTGTATTCTGTATAAATAAGACAGAGACAGAATATTGGACGTTACATTCTGGTCTTTAATCCACATCATTGAGTCTCTTCATTTATACAGACAAATTTAGTAAATAACATCATATGTGTTAGAAACATAGCAGTGGACTACACCAGCAGCAAAAATGTTTGCAGCATCCCTGGGACATTTACAACCATTCACTGGAAAAGTTCTGAGTTTAAACTGAAATAAAGCACTGCAGAATCAATACTTAGTTTAATATTTAGGAAGGGTTATCAGTATTTTGAAGATAGAGATTAGTGACAGTGACTTAATGCCATTATTGCTTTACTGACTTTTTTTTTTCTCTTTTCTGTTTTTCCCTTCTATTCTACTTTCATCTGTCTCAAAACTCAGTACAGTCATTTGCCATGACTCCTACAGGAATCAATAAATATAACAAATGGAAATCTCTTCTGAACATATTTTGAATATTCATTGCATACATTTGACCTGGCTGTATGCAAACTGCTTTTATGTTTGTCTTCTTCTTTTTTATTGCTCCTCTGTTCTGGCTGATCAATAATTGCATACTCTTGTCTTCCTGTAAAACTATAATTTTTTGAAAATAAAACCATCTCTTATTTTCTGTTCCTAAATGTCTTGTCTTGCCTATATCAAAAGCTTGTCTGTAAAGGTGTTGCTATAACATATGATGTGGTATATAATAATAAAAGCCTAAAACTATAGCATATAATACTATAACATGTAAAGAACCTCTGTCCGCCCCTCTAGATCCATCTGCTTTCTTTTCTCCTCTCTTTCTAACCATGTTTTCCCTCTGTTCTCTCCACCATTCTATTCCTCTTTTCTGCCTTCTTCCTTCTCCATTCCCAATACCAGATTTTTTATTAGCTTTCATTTCTTTTGTCCTCTTCAAGTCATATTTTCACTACTTTAAATAAAAAAATCATGTGAAAATAAGCATCCATTATCTTTCATTTCATGTGTATGCAGACTACTTGGGATAAGGTCTATATCTTGCATTTTATTATACATTTATGCCATTGGGGTATCCTAGTAAAAAACTACCTGAACAAAGCTGGTGCCCTTAGGCATCTTAGGGAAAGTTTGCTTACTGATTTGTTTGTTCATTTAGTTGTATTTTTATTTGGCATGGATTAACATCCTGCAGTGCACATTTATTTGGCTGTATCTGAGGGGTCTGATATAATTACCTGACTTAATATGGGAGTTCAAGGCTGATAGCCTAGAGTTTTTCTAAAGAAAACCCTTCTTTCTGTCTTCTCAAAAACAGTTTTCTAAAATTGTATGTTAGTCTCACGCCCTAAGCTTTTTTGCACCAAGGGCACCTTGTCAGCTGAAACTTAAGGAACTAAAGTGATGCTCTCAGATATTATTTGAGTTGCATGGCCTTGGGGCTTCCTAAGGCTAAGATGGCTGCAAAAAAATAGATAAATTTATGTACCAAAGACTTTTTTTTTTTATATATTTTTTTTCTGTTGGACAAACTAATGCCCTCATACAACAGAGTTATACATGGACCTTGAAAGAGAGAAAGAGAAATTCTTTAATACCAGATGCCCTTGGAACTGCATTTCTCCTGATATAAAATGATGCCCCAAAGCCATTAGGTATATCTTACACTACCCAATTCCATAAAAGTAGCAAAAAGAGTTTCTCTGCACTTGGATAATATAAAGTTATAAACTTTGTATTTAGGCACATATATATTTTGAAATAATACTTATTAATGTTATTCTTTTTACCTCTAGAAAACAAAAACAAAAACACAAATAACAGAAAAGAGAGGATGGGGGTGAAGGGAGGGAACTCCAAAGCACCAAACCCAATGCATTTTGTATTCTTTCCCTGCAGTTAAAAGGCATCATCCAAGGATAAAGGTTTGGTGATTTCTACTTTTGGACATTATATTGTCAAAGAATGTAAATGTTGGGGGGCAAAATCTTACAAAAATTCTAGATAAGGAGAAAGGATGTTGATAAATGGGAGTTTCTAGTTTCTTCAATGTACTACTGTTATGGGTCTAAGGAAACCATAATTTGTCAATTGCCTTTTCACTGTTTCACTGAGCAACTCTACAACTATTCCCTTCAGTCATTTTTTTTTCTCCCGAGGAAAAAAAAAAAAAAAGAGATATAAATCTCAGTTTGAAACAGAAGGAAAATATTTTGTAAAACAGCTCTTAATGAATTATATAACTAATAAATCTTTGCAATTCAATGTGTACTTCAAATATAGCAATGCAGTTTAATTGTTTTTAACATAAGTCCATTTATACTGCATATGTTCATGTCTACGCAAAAGGGCCTTTATTTAACTGGTCAGACCAGAATGAGTGTGAAGCTTTCTGGGCTTTGTTCGTTCTTCTGGAAACATAAATTTTGAGTGATAAAGCAATCAGAGAAATGTAGATGGTCCTAGGGTAGGTAATTCATTTTTATATGTTTTAGAAAGAGCCTTTCATGCCTTGTTATGACCTCAGATTGGCTTTACGCTGCTGTAAACTGAATTTGTGGACAACCCTTCATGTGATAAGTATTAACAGTAGCAAGTCCAACATATTTATCTGTAAGTGAGAAAAAAGATATTTCTTAAGTCTTATCATAGCTGATGGTTCACAGGTACTTTTTTATTTTTTAATGTCCACACCATAAGGACTCCAGAGTATTCAAAAATGATTTCAATGAAATTATTACATATCATTAAATAGCAGTTAATCTTATATGCTTGAAACTTTAATTGATATCTTTTGTTAAATTTGTGCAAACAGTATTGGTGGATTTCTAATACTCTACAGTCTTACATATAACCAGTCCTGAGGTTTCATTTCCCTTCTTGAAAAATGAATCAAGAAAATGCCTCTAAAGCTAATATAGAAAGCCTGCAGCAGCCAGTTGTGGCTGTTTTGTTGTTGTTGTTCATTTTTGGTTTTGTTGTTGTTTGTTTGTTTGTTTTCTGAAGATACATATAAACTGATAAGTTTTTGTTTGTTTGTTTGTTTTTCTGCTAAAAGAAAGCACATGTAAATTAAATTTTATATACAAATTATAAAAGATCAATATATTTTGTGCCTTCTACATTTCTGGATATTATTTTGGCATTTTGCAGAAAAAGAAATGTGCTTGTATGCATATTACACTTGCAAATATTTTATAGTCCATCTAATATATTTGTGTGCTATAGTGATTCATAGGTTGTTTAATGAGTCATCTATAAATTATGTTAAGTATTGTAATTTTTTTCTCCTTTATTTAAATATGAGACATAAGAACTGAAAAGTTAAATTCATATGAAAGATATGTTTAGTATAGAAATGTATGACTGGTCACACTATACATGTATAAGCTCTAACATGCCTGGGTGAAACCGAAAGAGACTGCTGCTTATCAAAACTCACTACATAAAATATTTGTCTCATTATCTACCAGCTAAAGTACATAGACTGGTGATATTCAATGAAGATTTTGCAATGTCTGTATGTATAAAGTAATGTTAATGTTACTAGCTCCACAGTTTAATAATAGCAAAATCCACTGAAAATATTAAAAGTACACACATGTACATGTTTATGTGCGTATATAAAAAAGGTGTGTGTGTATATCTATGCATTTTGCTCCTCTCCTCAGAGATTTTTAGACTTGGTAAAGACTTGGTATTCCAGCATATTATGTTCAAATATATGTGTTCTACATTATTTTTTCCCCCATGTATTTGAACAAATTGAGCTAGAAGAGAAATACTTGAAAATTCTTTCAATCTTACAGGGCAATATTTCATTAAATGCAATACTTCTGGAATTTAACTTTCTTTCTTTCTTTCTTTCTTTCTTTCTTTCTTTCTTTCTTTCTTTCTTTCTTTCTTTCTTTCTTTCTTTCTTTCTGTCTTTCTCTCTCTCTCTCTCTTTCTCTTTCTCTTTCTCTTTCTCTTTCTCTTTCTCTTTCTCTTTCTCTTTCTCTTTCTCTTTCTCTTTCTCTTTCTCTTACGTTCTCGTTCTCATCACCTCACAAAACTTTTACTGTAATTACATTTTCAGGGTCCAGTCACAAAGATGTGTTATCTAAGCCCTCCTAGAAGACTAAAATTTAGATGTCCATGTTCAGAACTGAGGTTTCGAGGTCAATAGTTCTTACAAGTCATCTCCTCCTGGAGGCATCAAACAAGCTGGTTTGGTTTTGCTTTTAATCTTTAATTTAGGCTTTAAGAGCTCTGGTTATTTGATCATTTGGAAGTTTTTAAGCCTTTACTGAACTCATATGCAAAAATAGCCGTGATTCAGTAGCTGGACATTTTTGCC